GGATTATAATAATCTATCACTGGATTATAATAATCTATTACTGGATTATAATAATCATTAGGATTAATATTAATCCGATTAATATTAATCCGAGTTGTCCTGTTCATAATAAGCAAAATGTGAATATTGAGAGCTGAGAGTTTAAGATGTTTACACCGCTCACATGGGCAGTGTGGATCGTGCTGACTAGCTTTGTTCTTTTATTGTTCTGGGTGGCAGTCAAAAAAAGTGGTATACATACATAGTTTCGTTTCTTTTTAATATATCTGTTTGGTTATGCTTTTGTTCTTGAATCAGAACACGTTGGATCAAAGCACAAAACACTAAATTTGCACTTGACGTCGCACAACAACTAATCCATGGTTTTTCGCAACGAAAATGATACCATAGATTGAACGAGGTTCCACCAAACCATCCTGTCCCTCAGGATTAACATGTTTCAGTTCGTAGGGAGGACAGTAAAGAAAATGTGTACAGTGCATAGAGAGTGGGCGAAGAACACCCTCGGGCTACAAAGTGGAAACAAGATACGAATGTAGCATTTGCAAAGTGGCACGGTGCCAAACCAGCTGTCATGAAACCTCCATTCCATCAACGGGAATTTAAGAATGACAAAAACAGAGTCCAGTTATATACAGAACTTCCTTCATTCCATATACTGAACACTGTTTTTCAGTAAGTTTCATCACACGAAACTCGCAAATCTTAAAACTTTTTGGCAATTTTTCTTAGAGGGCAAGAGTACTATGGCAACACTTGTAGACTTGTAGACAATATACTGAACACCGTTTTCCTGTAAGTTTCTCCAAATGAAACCTGCAAATCTTAAAACTTCTTGGCAATTTTTGTTAGTGGGCAAGAGTATTATGGCAAAACTTGTAGACTAACAGTAAGCATCAGCAAAGTGCTGGTATTGGCAGTTAAACCAAGATGATTGGTGTGCATGAGCACATGCAAGGGTGACTTTCCATTACTATAAACCACATTTGCACGTTTCTTGTGAGGACAAGGGCATAATGTAGACTAACAGTGAGCATCAGCAAAGTGCCGGTATTGGCAGATACACCAGCGAGGGTCATGCGATCCTCAGCCACCATCATCTATACCATATGACCCAATCTGGAGCTTTGGCCTTGCAGTTAAATGTGGCATTCGCCAATTGCGAAAGCCATTTGGTTGTACAAGTGTAAAAATCAATATGCCATTAGAAACCCAAGTATAAAAGGGGAGAAACAATCAGCGGCAGAAGAAACTGTTGATATCTTCTTACGAACTTATTCTAAACGTTTTGCTTTAATTCCTTTGTTTACAAAATATTAATGATTGTCTCATTAATATTAACTTCTTTAATCATCTAGACTCTCGATTATTCATTCAACCTGAGACCAAATGACTCAGGATAATCGAGGTTTCACTGTACTACGAGTCCCTTCACGTTTTTCTCTGAGAAAGTGGTGCAAAGTTGGAAATAAAACATTTTGACCTCCCCTGATATTTTGTGTGCAGATATGTCGCTCTTTGGGATGAACCAACACAGCCATATCAGCCAATGCATCATTGTCGTGGAAACTGCAATACTTGTTTATCATCTCAGACTGTGGCCCACGTTTAAGTCATAGTGTAGGACAACTAAGGGTTATGGTGGATCGCAGATAAGATTGTACCTGCCATCAATAACCTATACTGAGAACAAAAACGGGAATCTTCTCTGTTGAGGGCATGTGAAAAATACAAACAGGTAACCCATTCAATGGTACGGAAAAATATCCTTAGCATCATTGCTGATACACTTTCATTTTACAATCTAGGGAAGTTGATACCAGGCCTTACTCAACAGTGAAATAGGTAGTGAAATACTACGCACTATTACGCACTAATTCTATCGTCTTTTTTTGTTTATTTGTAGCTATTTTGCACTTAGTTGTTATTAACTGTTTTACCTTTCAAGTAAAATCACTCTAGCATTGCTGGTGATGGGGACACCTAAACCAAGTTACAATATATCAGCCGGCTATGCACAAGATAATTAGGAAAGAAGAAAAAAATTAAAATAATAGCTATTTACAAGATCAATTGGGGAGCTTAAGCAGCAACGTTTTTGAGCGATGCACGTCAACCGGGCGGCAAGGGTGGCGCAGTGGTAAGAGCGCTCACCTCCCACCGGTGTGGCCCGAATTCAAATCCCGGCTTCGACTACATATGTGGGTTGAGTTTGTTGTTGGTTTTTTCCCTTGCTCCGAGAGGATTATGAAGATTACGTGAAGAGAAGTTTTTTTGTTTGTTGTTGTCATAGTAACATCGATTTTACTTAAAACTACATTTTCACAAATTTCAATCCATAGCCAATTACTGGTGAAAATTTTACAGCGATCAGACAAGGAAAAAACCACTTTTAAGGTGATTGAAAAATATCGGTATGGCCTGTAAGAAAACTGTATCGAAACACCTTAACTGATGGTGTGAAAGAGGACATAGCTTTAATTTTCACGCATTCATGATATCTTGCTTTCTTACGCTACGATTTTGAGAAAAAAAAACTGTTTTGCAGTCTAGAAGTAAAACGAATACAATCTGTTCCCTGAAGGAGATATGTCCATCAGAAGAGGAGGTTATCAGAATACACCTGGTTTTATCCTAGTTAGAGAATCCTGATCATAACGTTTGTAATAATCCTGGATTAGAATAGATACCCCCCGGAGATACCCTTTTACCAACATATATTGCGGCCAGCCTTCAACGTATTTCGTTGTTTCTCAGCTCGTCTAATTACTCTCCGCCAAACCCAGTGGCAGTTTTAGCGCTGCTCTTACTCATAACTTGTTTCTGCTTGTTGTATCGGCAATGTGGCCTGGCTGGCAACCCGGGGGGGGGGGGGGGGGCATGCAGTATTAGATAATACAATTAAGCTACCCTATCTAAGGACGACACCGGGGACACAGAAACAAAAGGGTCAAAAAAGATACCCTATTTAAGGACCGAGAACCTCAAAAACCATACCCTATTCCGCGGCACTTACCTATGTAGCCCATATATGGGAGTACCCTCCCCCCCCGGGGCTGGCAACCGCACCGCGCCCAATAATCCTCACCAGAGAAAATCTGACTTAACACTACCTGTAACCAGTGCTAGTCTTCTGCTGAAGACTTGAATTTTTGTTTATATCCCAGATCTGGGTGATGACACGTCATCAGTATGGAATTCAGTTCTGCGCTCGTTCGTCAGATGCGTCATTTCACGGGGAAACCAGTGCCGGTAGCATCGTGAAATGTCAGCTGCTTTCTCATGAGAAGCGAATACTCCCATGCAGTATTCCCAAATCATGTTTCTTATGTTGAGGGCTCAGTCCATTGAATGTTTTGTGGTTAATTCTGCGAAGAAGATTGGTCATGATTTCTGTTCGTCGTATTTATTCGATTAAACGCCGCCCTCGTATAAACGCTGCCCTTGAATAGACGCCGCATTTTAGAGCAGAAATATTAATAAACGCCGCCCTCGAATAAACGGCGTTTACGCGAGGATAATAAGAAAAACCTCGGTACAACTTGGTAATTTACACCATTCAGACATTGAAGATTCTATCTCAGCAAACTAAGAGAGACACAGGAACCTTTAGATTAAATAATATTTACAAACGATTTACAATAACGGTTGTCATTGATTTAAAAAAAGTGATTTCGAAATAAACGCCGCCCTCGAATAAACGCCGCATTGAAAACGCTAAAAATTTAATAAACTCCGCGGCGTTTAAGCGAATAAATACGGTAATGTCCAGGTTTCTGAGCCATAGAGTAGTTAATTCTCTACTAACGACTGAGTAGATTTCAAGTAGATTTTGAAACTGTTTTAAAGGTTCATGAGCGCCATAGTTTTCTTCAAGCTTTTTTCATGCTACCCAAACTAAAGCGTTTCGAATTTTAAAGTCGTAATGCGATTCCTCTACAGCTACTAGTTTAATGTTCCCACTAGGAAGCGATTTTAGGTCCTTGGGGTACTTGTCTGCTAAAAGCCGTTTTTAGTGTCGTCACGCAACGCTCCTCCCCAAAAGTAGTGGGGAGGAGCGTTGCGTGACGACACTAAAAACGGCTGTGTAGCAGGGGCTGACCGGTGTTGATATACCCAGTGCTGCTCTCATATGATTGTAATGAAGCCTGCAATCAAGGTAGCAGCTTTTCAAGACTCGGATTGAAACAAAACTGTCTTCGGCTAGTTCTGCTCTAAAATTGTAGGTCGACGTCCGCGAAGTCGAGATCAGGCGTTTAGCTAGAAATTTTCCAGAGGTTTGCAAAGTTTTCTAAATCAACCTATCATGTTCCACAAATCATTTTCGCGGGGGTGACTACTATTAGATGAAAATTCTGTTTTTTATCAGGTAATAATCTTCCTTGATATTATTATTAGATTCGCATCAACATGTCATGTGGAATTGACTAACTGAGGACTTGAGGTCTGTGACATTCTAAAGGAGTTCAAATTCAAAGTGCGTCAGATTTTTTTCAAAATATATTTACTGATAATCACATTAGATAATTACATTTACAATACTGCAAAAAAGCATTTGAACAATAGACATTAACAGAGTAAAGAAAAGTTACAAGGACTAGGTAAGTCAAACACGATGGTGTAGGAGGAAGGGCGTCGCCTCAACAACGTCGCCAGAGTTTTTCCCTAAGAAAATGGGAGGGGCGGGGCGGGGCAGGGCGGGGCGCCTTGTAGCACCCAAACTCTATGATCCATTTTGACTGGGTCGTCGGTCAGAAGGGACAACATGACTTCTCGCAAAGCCTCGACCTCGTCTCCGACGTTTACGCGACGGACATCGTCGCTGAACAATTGTGGGCAGGTCTCAGGTGACCTAATGATCACGATCACTTCTGAAGATGTGATTGAATGTTTCAGTCACGTTTCAAGTATACGTACAGCCTTTTCACTAAGTAACTTAGCTTGCGTTAACTCAAACGTTCTGCCCTTATCGAGCAATCCTGCAGGTATCACAAAGGACCATGGCAATTGTCGATGAAAACTGGCATACACCAAGATCCACTATCAAAGAAAGAATATCCTTTATGTTCAACAAGGATCATTTGAGCGATGTCAAATTTGTTGTTTTTGACGGTAATGGCGAAAACGAAAGTAGACAAATGATTCCAGCTCACAAGTTTATTCTGGCGATTAGCAGCCCTGTTTTTAAGGCCATGTTTTACGGTAAACTGGTGGAGACTGGACGCACTATTGAACTGCCTGATTGCGATTACGAAAGTCTGTTGGAGTTGTTTCGCTACATGTACAGCGATGAAGTGAACTTAAGCGGAAGTAATGTGATGAAAGTGCTCTACCTGGCTAAGAAATACATGGTTCCTTCACTAGCTAATAAGTGTGTGAAATATGTTTTTGGACATTTAGATGCATCCAATGTTTTCAACATTCTGCCGTGTGCTCAAAAATATGACGAGAAGCTACTGGTGGATAAGTGCTGGAAAGTGATCGATGAAGACGCGGAAGCAGCTATGAAATCGGAAAGCTTTGCGACGATCGACAGGTCGTTACTTGAAGCTGTGGTGGAACGAAATACTTTGGACATCGCCGAGCTGGAATTGTTCAATAGGGTCACGGAATGGGCAACAAAGAAATTCGAAGAACAAGGCATAGTGGCAGATGGGCAACAGAAAAGGAGACTTCTTTCAATACATTTTCCAGTAATGACAGAAGAAGAATTTTCATTTGTCCTCAGAAGCGGAATTCTTAGACTAGGTGAAGTCATTTTCAAAGCGGACATAAATTCGGTAGAAAATCGTCCCGTAGGATTCCCAAAGACTAAAAGATCCAGCCGTTTTAAACGTTGCTGTAGGTATAATTCTTCCGTGACCTTTGATCTGATTCGCAGTAGCTGCCCATCATCTCTGACTTTTACTGTGGATTGCGAGATACAGCTTCACGGAGTGTACTTGTTTGGGGAAAAAGACAGCTCTCATTCACTTACTCTTTATCTCGAGAGAGACCAAGATGGCGTTCTTGCCTCCACAGGGGGAACATTTTTATCAAAGCTCCACAGGTCTTGTAAATGTTACGGTTTTGAGGTTTGGTTTGAAGAACCAGTATCTTTGCAAAAAGGATCAAAATACCANGTGTGAAATATGTTTTTGGACATTTAGATGCATCCAATGTTTTCAACATTCTGCCGTGTGCTCAAAAATATGACGAGAAGCTACTGGTGGATAAGTGCTGGAAAGTGATCGATGAAGACGCGGAAGCAGCTATGAAATCGGAAAGCTTTGCGACGATCGACAGGTCGTTACTTGAAGCTGTGGTGGAACGAAATACTTTGGACATCGCCGAGCTGGAATTGTTCAATAGGGTCACGGAATGGGCAACAAAGAAATTCGAAGAACAAGGCATAGTGGCAGATGGGCAACAGAAAAGGAGACTTCTTTCAATACATTTTCCAGTAATGACAGAAGAAGAATTTTCATTTGTCCTCAGAAGCGGAATTCTTAGACTAGGTGAAGTCATTTTCAAAGCGGACATAAATTCGGTAGAAAATCGTCCCGTAGGATTCCCAAAGACTAAAAGATCCAGCCGTTTTAAACGTTGCTGTAGGTATAATTCTTCCGTGACCTTTGATCTGATTCGCAGTAGCTGCCCATCATCTCTGACTTTTACTGTGGATTGCGAGATACAGCTTCACGGAGTGTACTTGTTTGGGGAAAAAGACAGCTCTCATTCACTTACTCTTTATCTCGAGAGAGACCAAGATGGCGTTCTTGCCTCCACAGGGGGAACATTTTTATCAAAGCTCCACAGGTCTTGTAAATGTTACGGTTTTGAGGTTTGGTTTGAAGAACCAGTATCTTTGCAAAAAGGATCAAAATACCACGCACATGTTGTAGCAGATCATCCATTATATAACACCAATGCTTGCGGTCTTGTTCAATGCATTTCCGGTGTTACTTTTACCTTCTTTCTTTCCTTGACCCAAAGTCCTATTGCTGAATTCATTTTCAACCTTAATTGTGAGTGAAAATGATCATTCAAAATGAGTCTAGCCAGTTGAAAGAAGTAACAAAGTGAAGTTTCCCTTTACTAACTCGCGCCTTTTTCTGTGTTGAAAAAGGGTGTCCTTTAAGGGCTAGACCAAAGGGAATATCAAGTAGAATAAGTATAGTGAGTCTTATTTAAGTAGACACATGAACTCTGCAAAGCTGATCGATTGTTCTACGTGAAAATAAACTTTGCAAGACATCATCAACACGACACCGAAAGAACCCAAAGCAGAGCGGGGTTGTAGCCGTAGACAGCTGTTGTTTATATTGCGTTTTGTGTAAAAAAAAAATACCCTTTTTAAAATCATTACCGTAAATGATCCGATAGCCGCCCCCATTTTTTATTTAGGAGCCTAAGCTAGCCTGAGAAAACGTAACAGCCGACATTTGGCGACGCTACCACTGGTTTCCCCGCCAAGTGACGTCTGAGAAACGAGCGCAGATTCCATATACTGATGACTCGTCACTACCTTGCCTAGTCTCTAGGCCTCATTTTTTCTCGCGGCCAAAGCGTTTCGGGTCACGTGGTTCATCCGAAAATGTGAGGGCGTTTCCCGCCCGTTCGCCTCGGATACGTCACCGAAACGAATTGACCGAGAGGGACTGGGAAAACGCCGTACAGGGACTAGGCAAGTCACTACCCAGATCTGGGTAGTGCCTCTGACATTATACGCTTGTGCTTTCAGAAAAAAAAAAAGTCTCTGACAAATGTTTTATCGATCTAAAGAAAGCTATAAAGACTAAAGCAGACATTTTTACAAGAAAACGTTGTTAAATTTCTTAGCAGTTGAAAACGTTACGGTCAAGAAGACTTTTGCAGGGACTGATCAAACAACGTGAAATAGAGTTTCGTTGTGATATTTCGACTGACCAATACCAGTCTTCACCAAGTTTATTAAGATATCACGAATTTATAGAAATTAATTTCAAATATATTTTTGCAGTAAAATCATATCAAGGTAGAAAATGTCGCATCACGGCAGTACGATGATATCAAGGTAGAAAATGTTGCATCACGGCAGTAAAATGATATCAAGGTAGAAAATGCTGCATCA